CGACACCAGATACTCCAAGATATAGAAATAACTTTTCTTCCGGTTCTGGGGCTGACAGGACTGGCGGATTCTGCATATATTGCTTCAAATGAGTCAATGCCTGTCGTTGCTCATCCCCCCAGACCTGCCTTCCATGGCTCCGAATCGTGTCAAAGAATGGTTTGCAGTGGTCTGACAACTTTGAAATAAATCGACTTAATGCAGCTATTCGTCCTGTTAGGGCTTGCACCTCTCTGATCGTCTTTGGCTCGGCATTCTTAATCAAAGCCTCTGCTTGAGCGGGGCTAACTTCGATGCCCCTGCGGTTGACCACGTGTCCCAGAAACTGCCCGGAACTCACACCGAACGAGCACTTGGTCGGATTGAGCCTCATCCCATATCGCTTTAGTACATCAAATACCTCTTGCAGATGCTTCAGATGATCATCCTTTTTCCTACTTTTCACCACCATATCATCAATATAGGCTTCGACAATCTTACCCATTTGATTCTTAAAAACTTTGCTGACAAGTCGTTGATAAGTTGCTCCCGCATTCTTTAATCCAAAAGGCATAACCTTGTAGCAGTATGTTCCTCGCTCGGTGACAAAAGAAGTTTTTTCTTCATCTGCGGGGTCCATAGGAATCTGATTATAACCTGAATATGCGTCCAGAAAGGTTAAACGCTCATACCCCGTGGTGGCATCCACCATTTGATCAATCTTAGGCAACGGGAAACTGTCCTTCGGGCAGGCTTTGTTTAAATTGGTGAAATCAATGCATACGCGCCATTTCCCATTTTTCTTCTGCACCACAACGACGTTGGACAACCACTCAGGGTAGTGCACCTCTCTGATAAATCCCGCATCAAGCAGCCTATCAACTTCTTCCGTTATGATCTGATTACGTTCTGGAGCAAATCTTCGCTGCTTCTGTTTCACTGGTTTGAAATTAGGATTGACATTCAGGGAATGACAGGAGACGGAAGGACTAATTCCAGGCATGTCGAGGTGACTCCATGCAAATACGTCGACATTGTGGGATAAGAAATCCACTAGCTCTTGCTGCTCTTCTCTGGTCAGTCTTATACCCACTCTGGTAGTTCGTTCTGGCCTGGACTGATCGATCTGCACATCCAGAAGGGGCTCCTCGGTCAAGTCGGCTGACTCCTCCACCCTATTCTGCTCGAGTGGAGGTTCCTGTAATTGCTATCTGGGGCTTGTCGACCGGACGGGCGCCTTTCCCTTCCCTGCATGCTTTAGTGTGACGGAATAACACTCTTTGGCTGCGACCTGATCCCCCCGAATGTCTATCACTTTATCTCCATCGGGCCCGAGGCACCTCATGACCTGATGCAGAGTTGAGGGTACACCTCGGACTCTGTGAATCCATCCTCTTCCCATCAGGAGATTATACGAGGGGTGAATTTCCACAACCACAAAAGTTTCCATAAGAGCTCGCTCTGCAGCTTGAACTTCTACTTCCACCATCCCGACGGGTTCCACCCTCTTCCCATCGAACCCTAATAAGGGATTTCCGGTGGGCTTGAGCCTCTCTGGTTTAATGTCGAGCCTGTCAAATGTGTCCCTCGGCATAACATTCGCACTGCTCCCAGGATCGATCAGAACTCTGCGCACCAAGCACTCTGCCACTGTCAAACTGACTACCAACGGGTCGTCATGAGGCAGTTGAACACGCTGCAGGTCTGTCCAGTCGAACTTTATCTGCATTGACGGGCTCTGTTGGTGTAGAGTGGTCACATTGCCGACCCTTTTCTTCATCTGCGCCTGCCGCAGGCGCACCCGTAGCAGCTCATCTGGCTCTTCACTAGGCTCGGGTCGACCATGGATAGCATTGATTATACGAACTGGTTGCAAATTGTGGGAGCTTTGTTTATGACTCCTTTTTATTTGTTCCACTGGTCGATTCTGCTCCATCGCCGAGCCTTGTACATAACTCGCAAACTCCCCTCTAGCTATCAACATCTCCACTTGCCTCCTCAGGTTCCTGCATTCGTTAGTCTGATGTCCGAAATCAGAATGAAAAGCACAATGTTTAGTTTGATCCCTCTGTTCGAGGGGTTGTCTAATTGGCAGTGGTGGATGAAACTTGTCCTTGTTCTCCTGATACAACCTCGCCAGAGTGACCTTCAGCGGAGTAATCAACTCTTCCTCCCTGGACCTTTTTTCGGCCTTCCAAGTGGTCTGACGTTGCGGCTGAGCCTGCTTCTGCCTGATCTTTGCCTTGGACTTTTCCTCGGTCGACACAAGCGACGTTGTCCGAGCATTAGCTGCCTCCTCTTCTTCGAGGCGCACAAAGCCATCGGCTCTCTCATTGAGTTCATCCATGGTAGCTGGCGTATTCACTACCAGACTGGTGTGAAACGGAGTTCCGCGTGTCATGGCTAACTTGAAGGCTTGAACTGCCGTAGAAGGATGGCATTCGATTACCATACTCTTAGTGAGATTAAACCTGGTAAGAAAGGCCTGGAGCCGTTCATCCTTGTGTTGCCGCATCGTGAACAGGCTCGAGATGTCCTTCGGCGGGCGTTTGTTCCCATAGTACTGGCTTATGAACCGATCGCACAGGTCCCTGAAACTGCCAATGGAGCTCCTAGGCAAGTTTTTGAACCAGCTGAGCGCCGGTCCGGCCAGACTTGTAGGGAAGCATTTGCACATTAAAGAGTCGTTTTCCGTATTCAGGGCCATTTTCAACTGGATATGATACACATGATCGATCGGATCGGTTGTTCCGTCAAACAGAATAAAGACTGGCATAGCAAACTTCCTTGGATGCGGCGCATTCAAGATCTCGTCGGTGAATGGTGAATCCACCGTCCGAGCTGCGGATCGGAGAGCTTCATTCTCTCTCTGGAGTCCAGCGGTAGCTCTGTGAGTTACGGTTCTGCCCTCCGAACCGTGATGAGTGACAGTAACCATGGAGGGCCGGTAAGACGGATCGAACGACCGTTCCTCTATGAACTCTCTCTGCCAAGGCGACGCTACTCGACGGCGATCTACCTCCATCACTTCCTCTCGGTCAAACCTTTCCCGCTGCGGATCAACGTGAGTCGAGCCTTCGTGATCTTCAACTCGACGAACATTTGGCGGCGAATTGTCCATCATCCTTTCATCACGGTGGTGAGCTGACTGATTGTTCTCGTTCTGATCGCCTTGATGCGCGATACTAGATGGAACACCTCCTTCTCCGACCGGAAGCGGATGCGAAACTGCGGGTATTTGCCGATGCTGCAATCCAGCTTTCAATTCTGCATTTTCTTTTCTGAGAGCTTCAATCAAATTCATCAACTCTTCAAGCTTTGTTTGCTGGACAGCCTCCATCGGATTGGAGCTTTCACCTATCATTATTCCCGAACGGAGTAAAGGCATTAATCTCAAGTTCGCGAGTAGATCTAAGCTTCGTGAGTAGGAATTTTTAGATCTGGCTTCTAATTCTCCGAATTATGCTCACTGTTTACAAGATCTGAATTGCCTGGACTCTAAATCCGTCAGATCCTGTCACAATCGAGCAACTCGCGGTTGCGTAGATCTGAAGTCACTCCTGCCAAAGCTTCAAGAATCGTAATTCCTCCAGAGTAGGTCACAATCGCTCAGATCTGGATTCAAATCCGCAAGATCGAGTTTCGATCAACCGAATTGGTTTGAATCCATTCGATACTCCTCATTGATCAACTAAACTTTTATGCGTTTCCCACAGACGGCGCCAATTGAAGATGCAAGAAACTCCTTCTATTCTTTCTCTCTCTAGAATTCTTACACCTCAACCCCAATCAAGATCCCCCTCCTCTTCATTCCAACTCCTATTTATAGATACTTACCAGATATTTACAAGATATTTACAAGATATTTACTAATTGCTGGACCTGGGCCTATTCCTCAGTAAGCCCTGGTCACTCTTGATGGGCTTACTCCCGCTCGGCCCATATGGCAGTGTCTTTCTATGGGCTGACCCAGCTGTTCGGACTGAAGGTTGTGTTTTGCGAGTCGGGCCTGGCCCATGTCATCCAGGGCCTCCTCACTTATGCTAACTTGTGACACTTTTTTTTTTTTTTTTAAATCAAATTTCATCACTTAGGTTCCATTTTGTGTTTTCTATTATAGGAATTGTCAATTTTTTTTTTTTTTGAACTTTTTTTGAGGTGGAAATTAACGCACTTGGATTGTTTCCATTTTTTATAGTTATTTTAATTTAGTCATTATTATAATATCCATATTTTTTTTCATGATTTTTAAAGAGAGCCAAATTGGACTATTTTGAAAATTCGTTTGTCTAAATAGTTGTAATATTTATCAAATCATTATTATTCATTAGTATAACACATCATGCAGCTTTTTCTTTGCTAATCTTTGTAAATTCAAAGTTCGGTTTACTTTCATATTTTTGCTCCTCCTTCACAATAAAAACGGCATTTTTTTTTTCTTTCAACAATGGTAGTGTCAGGCCTCTTAGAGCATCCCAGAATTCACCGCCAGACACATACAGTCATTCCATCCGATTTGCACCAGACAATTTTATAATAGACAGAAGAATAAGCTAGCAAAATGAATGCTTACTACAAATCAGCGCTTGTGTACAATTAACCCTGTCACAATGTTCTGTGAATTTAATTCTGTTTAACCATGTTGACATTAAAAAATTGTCTGAGCACACACTAATTGTTCTTGATGCAGATGTAGATGAAGGAGAATAGCCGAAATCGGGTTGATTTGAAGTTATGAAATTTCAAATTCAAATTCTTCTTTGTGAAAATATTATGAAAATTGAAGTAAATGCAAAATGAAAGAGTTAAATTCATCGAGCAAGCTGAATTTTTTCACACTTAATTATGTGAATGAAAGTCATGGGATTGTGTATCCTGATCTTTTGAATGCCATTAGCTTCTGTTTGGTTGAACAATAATCAATTTGAATTCGAAACTTGTGAGTTTAGATGTGCTGTTTTAAAATCATTGATAAAATGTAGTAAAATTCATGGCTAATTGTCTTTTTTCCCTCTCTTTAGGAGATGTTCTCTCAGGTAATCAGCCTGAAGGATCTGGGCATCTTGGTGTTCTGCAAGAATGGTTTGGCATTCATTGGTGGACGTCGCGAGCCTTTGCACTCCTCTGCATTGTTCTGTTTGTTATGCTTCCGTTGGTCATGTTTCGTCGTGTAGGTCAGTACTCATTTCTTCCCATTTTTGCCTTATTAGCAACCAAATGGATCATATATTGGACACGAAACATGGAATGCATTATAATACAGGAATATCTGCCTTTGTTTTTGATAAATTAATGGGAGAGGTATAAATTGTGAGAGCATTTTGTGAAAGCTAAGCACAAGATGTTGAAACTTAACTTGAGTTAGAGACAAATCTCGTTAACCAAATTACACACGAAAGTTGAATCGACTCGTGTTTGTGTTTGATCTTGTATGAAAATTGCAGCCACTCGTGAAGTAGACAAACATAATTATTAGTTGAATCAGTTGTTTGAGTTTATAACCAGAAGCTCTAGAAATGTAAAATTTGAAGGTTTATATATTAGTAGTATGTATTGAACTGACAATTCTTTCTTGTGTTGTGCTAACTTGTGTTTCCAGAATCATTGAGGTTCAGTTCAGCAGTATCGGTTCTCCTTGCAGTGGTGTTCGTCGGCATATGCTCGGTGATGGCATTCACTGCACTCTTGAAAGGGGAAGCGAAGACCCCAAGACTTCTACCACAGTTGGACAACCAAGCCTCCTTCTTCAACCTTTTCACTGCTGTGCCTGTCGTTGTCACAGCTTTTACATTTCATTTTAATAGTAAGTCCATCACAGATTATCTGTTTTAGGATGTTAAAAATTTAGTGATTTAGTACTTCAAGAGAATAAAAAAAAAATCTGTTAGGAAAATATGATAAGAAGTAATAATTCCTAACAGTAAGATAACTAGTAATCTTCATATCACATATTAAAAATATACCACCACAGAAACATAGAAATGTAACACCAATTCTATGTTTATTGCCACTTTTGTCGAATACTTATATCTGATCAAAACTATTGGATATGCACGCAGTTCATCCTATTGGCGCGGAGCTTGGTGAAACATCAGACATGATCACAGCTGCCAGAATCTCTCTAGCGCTTTGCGCTGCCATCTACTTTTCTATCGGCATCTTTGGGTACCTTCTGTTTGGAGATTCGATCATGGCCGACATACTTGTGAATTTTGATCAGAGTTCCGGCTCAGCAATCAGTTCATTACTCGATGACATAGTTAGATTAAGCTATGCATTCCATCTCATGTTGGTGTTCCCTCTTTTGAACTTCTCTTTGAGGGCCAACATTGATGAATTCCTTTTCCCTAAGAAGCCTCTTTTAGCAACAAACAACAAGAGATTTCTTTCCATTACTTGTGTTCTGCTAGTTTTTTCTTACTTAGCAGCAATAGCCATCCCAAACATATGGTATTTCTTTCAGTTTGTGGGATCAACTTCTGCTGTATGCCTTGCCTTCATCTTCCCGGGTGCAGTTGCTCTAAGGTACCCTCTATCACTCTGTATATGTATATAAATGTATCTCTGGGTAATGGTGGTAGTTGTTACGACAAACACCGCAGATTAAGAATATGATTAAGAATATGATTAAGAAACTGACAAAACTATAAATCGACACCACACACATAACACAAAGATTTACCTAAAGCCTACATTCGTAAAAAGATGACACTATAGCTATGTTTGGTTGCATGGAATTTGAATTGGAATTGGAGAAAAGCAATTAAGAAAATTGAACCAAAATTTTCTTCAATTTCAACTCCAGGCAGCTGAATACAACCTATGTGGGAAAAAAGAAAAAAGAGGTGGTTACAAATATCAAACCCCAAACCCTTAGCCTCTCTCTCACTCTTTAAAATGGCTTTAGGGTACTCTCTAAACACATGACAAACCCTAAATACCCTTATATATTGAGTTACAAGAGAGAATGTAACCTGAGTCTAAGAACTTACAACGTACCCTAGGTTGAAACCAAATTTGGACCATAACTTCACAGTAGTACTTCTGCTCCACTAATAGAATATTATTTGATCAAACTATCTGCACAACTACATGCACTTGATACACCTTTTGTGGATGTTTTTATTTTTGAAGGTATCATAAAGATTGATTATTTATATTACTTTATAACCATCTGTTATAAATTATATATACTTTTCAGACATCTATGCTTAAATCTAAATCTTTATTTATTTCTTTTGCCCTTTTTCTATTGATGACAGAGATGTTCATGGCATATCAACAATAAGGGACAGGATTGTGGCAACAGTAATGATTATTCTGGCAGTTGTAACAAGCACAATTGCGATGTTTACCAATATATATAGTTTGATGGGAAACAAATCGTGATTTTTATTTATTTATTTATTTTTTACTCTTAAATTTTTCATTTGAAATTGAGTGAATGTATTGTGTAATATACAATTTTTTTTTTTTTTTTTTGTAATAATAGCTGTTTATTTCTTTTTATGAAATGTCTACATGAAAACCTTTTTAAAAAATGTTGAAATTAATGCCCCTTTAAAATCATGTGTGTTGATTAAAAAGGAACTTTATGGAGAAAAAAAAACTAAAAAATAAATCAAAAATAAATTTTTTCTTTCTGATACTAATAAAAATAAAAAAATAAAAATAAAAAAGAAGTCATGCCTAGTATTACTCAATAATTATTTTCCTTTTTTCTCGCTAAATTTGAACTTGGTGTCAAATGGTAATGACTAATGACTACTAGCAACATTTTCTCGTGTGTGCTTCATGGATGGATCCTAACCCTCTGCTCCTTTTTGGGACATACTTACTTTGTACTTCTGCAATTGAATGAGACTTTAGATGGATCCTAACCCGTTGTTTCTTTTTGGGAAATGTTGAGAAAAATGGTCATCATAACAGCCTCAATGGGGGTGATTAGGGGTACAACTTGGGACCGGGCCTAGCCCGAATTCAGCCCGAGATTTTTCGGATTGGGTTTCTTTCACCAACAAATCGGGTTGGCTTTGGGTTAACACATTTCAAGTTGGGCTTATTTTCGGGTTGCTCTCGGGTTAGAACATGGTCAACTTGAGTCTAACCCGAAATCTTATTTTGTTTTTATAAGATTTTAATTGTAAATAATACACACGTGAAGAAATTCAAATAGAAAAATTGTCTATGTACATGTTTTTTTGCCTTTGCAATACTATTGTCAAAATTTTCTTCAAACTAAATTCAATCAAGTTTAAGGATATATATATATATATGTATATATATATATAATACCCTTTTAAAATCATGTGTGTTGATTAAAAAGGAACTTTATGGAGAAAAAAACTCAAAAATAAAATTTTCTTTGTGATACTAATTATATATAAAAAAAAAAAAAAAAAGTCATGCCTAGCATTACTCAATAATTATTTTCCTTTTTTCCCCCCTAAATTTGAACTTGGTGTCATAGTGTCAAGTGGTAATGACAACTAACATTCTCTCATGTGTGCGCTTCATGGAATGGATCATGGATCTCTGCTCCATATTAATTGTGCACGTCCAAAAATTTGACTCACTGCCACCTTATTGTTAAGTCATTTGAGGTTATTTTTAATCATATACTTTTTATATATTTATATACTATCTCTATATTATATTAGATGTTCACCTCGAAAACTCAAAATGAGTGAAAAATACACAACTAAACTAGAAATGAACAACAAACCAAAACATAAAGGAAGGGAGGGAGAGACTGGCAGATTTCCTGGCTGACTATACTATCACAGCTGATTGGGGAATTTCTGGAGGCCTCCTCAACTACATAACCAAGCATCAAAAAGATTGATGCTTCTCGGTATGACACTTCATGCATCATAAAAAAAATCATCAACATTCATGCATTAATGCAACTATCGTCAACATTTTAAACTTTGGTGTCGACAATAAGGTTAAGTTGTAGGGAAATTGGGATTACATAGACCACTGATCTGAAATTTCTTGTTCATATGAGAATAATCCATCAAACATTACTTCTCAAACAATGCAATACACATTGAAAACTATTGTATGGCCATAAATAAATAAAGAAAATAAAATAACATATTAAATAGTCATGCAACTTAAATCTTTATCAATATCAATATCAATATTAAATTTGCAACAGTGTATAAAACTCATAATGTTAATTAGCAATCATACATAGTGAAATCCACCACACTCCCTCCTAAAAATCCAATTTAATCGCAATATTTTAAGCAACCTAACTAAGAGTCACATTTAATTTCTAATTAAGATAAACAAGAAGAAGCCTTAATGAGCCCAAATCATCCATTTATGCATTACCCGAGAATAGTCCAAAATTGTACAGAGTACCGAGAATTTTCTAGCATTGTAGATCATTATTTGGAGTATTTTAGAACCCAGTTCTAATATTCCTTACCATAGACACTTTTACATATCTCAATCATTCTTTATAAGGCCATGGTCTATATAAAAAGATGGGAGTTGATTTGCCATCCATTCTAAGGCCTTGGACACTTATGGTTATTGATACAAATATGATATAATTTCATAGGAAGACTGCCAAAAGTAGGTCAGACACATTCACGTGTTCACAAATTCACCAAAATATGTTGGTTAGTCCAATTCCAACAAAAATTCAAAAATGTTCAACAAGAATATATAAAAGTCATGTTTCATACCTCAAATGCTTGCGATTTCTTGCTGCTCTCTTGGCTGTCCATGCCGAGCCCTCAAGTTTTGCAGCTGAAATTTGTCCAAAAACAACAAATAATTATAAACCAAAATAAAATAACGGACATTTAACTTACAATCTTCCAATGGGATGGATTTTTCAATCTGGATTCTCCTCTTACATTTTCTATCATCATCAACCACTCCAAGATGGAGATTTAAGTGCTTACAGTCAAGCAACTCAAACTTGTTGGAAATTTGGATTGCTTCGGCTGCTCAACCTCCAACCTTAGTAACATTTAGGCAAATAAATACAAAATATAAAAACATAAATAATATATAAATCATCAACAATCATATTATCAACATTATTAGTCGTAATCACTAAAGTCAACGTTGACATTAACATCCTCAAAACGTTGACATTAACATCATCATCTAGAATCGTCATTTAGAATCACGTAATCCTTTTGCATAGATATACATTTGATTAAGATAAATTGAAAAGAAATTTCATATCATAATTAGTAATTTTAAAACCAACATCTACTACAACGGTAAGGGAATTTATATAATTCAATTAACTAGGCAAAAAAAAAAAAAAAAAAAAACCTATTTTTCCCTGCTCCACCCATTCCCATCAACTCTCTTCGTTCAAAAAAGAGACCTACATTATTAGGACAAAAGAGAAAAAAAATTAAATGCGTTAATAAACTTGTAAAACATATATTTTGAAATTAAAAACTAAAATTCCAAGTCTTTAATTCCCATTAATAAATTGTTCGAGCATCATATCATAACAATATTATATATATGTATGTAGAAACAAAAACAAAAACAAAAAAATTAGTATGTAAAACGTGAATATATAAACGTAATCAATAGCTAAAAATGCCAATTAAAATTTTAGAAAAGTAAAGAGTTTGTTACCTGATGACTGAGGATACATGTTTGTTGAACCTTGTTCTTGCTAAATGTTAAGACCCGATGCTAACCCTAAAAATAAGAAACACTCAAGTTGTAAGGATAAGGTTTCACAATCTCACTCATAACAATTAAAACTCCACCATCTAAGTACTATCATGTATCAACCCAACCCAACCCAACTATGCTTTCAGTCAAAATGTTGGACACCTATCCGTAAAAAGAGGTGTGATTACAGATAAGTGTGATTAATCCAATAACAAAGTACAATGTGATTACAAATAAGTGTGATTAATCCAATAACAAAGTACAATGCATCAGTTTTGGAATAATTTTCAAAATTAACAAATCAATATATTGATATTCTACATTCTAATAACAAAATAAAATCAAAAACCAAAATTTGAAAATAAAAATTTGATAGAAATATTGAATATATCCTTCGTGCATTACACAGATTGTATTTCTATGTGAAACAAAACATCCAAGATTTTTCAATGGGGTGGGCTAAATCAAAATATATCAACCAAAATCAATTGTTGTTTAATTCAATTTTAGTTAACTAACAATGTTTCTTTAGACAATTGATTGATTAAGGCATAGAAAATCCTATTTGGGTAATTAATAAATAAAATTACCAATTTATTTCTAAACAATTCACCACTCAATACCCTGTCTCTTCTTTTGACCAATTTACTGATCCTATTTGAGAATCTACTAGTGGAAGCAGAGTGTGAGGTGGTTCATGGCAAGCCCCTTCCAACACTATGGAATTCACTCAAAAGCATGCTTTTTGTAAGTATTTTAATTTTCAAGACATAACTTTAGAGCTTTACCTACCCTATATTAAGTACTTTTGCTTGTCAGATTCTTTTGCTTTTTTTTTCATGCCCAGATTCAAATTTTCTTGTAGACATAATTGACCAAAAAAATATATATATAGAAATAGAAGTTATAGAAATAAAAATATATATATTTATTTTGCTGAAATAAAATGTAGATTATTGTGATTACCTCAAAATTCAATGCAAATTTTGCTACTTTATATTGTAATATATATATATATATATATATATATATATATATATATAATCATAAAAATTTCACCAAATAGGATTTAGTTTGCAAAACAAGAATTACAGACCTTGATTAATTCATTTAGAAAAAAAAATTTAAAAAAAACCCATATATACAAGTTAGCAGTTGCAGAGAGGGAGGGGGGCAAGCTTGAGAGTTGAGAGACAGCGGCTGAAGCTTGCAAACGGCGAACCCGAACTGGAACAGTGGGCGATGGAAACTGAAAGATATGGGTTTCGATTTTTTGAACAATCTGAAATGATATGCTGATACGGGTTTTGAACTTTTGATTCTTGCAGACAGATAGATAAACTGAAATATATGGGTTTTGAACTTCTAACTCTTGTAGATTTTGTAGTTTGCAGTTGCGGGGGCGAGGAAGGGGGGGCAAGTTCAGAGTTGAGAACGAGAGTAAAGATGGAGGCAATTGAAGAGGTTGAAATGATTTGCCCTAAAAGTAAGTCAGACGGTTGAAAATGGCTATCTGTGTGCTTTACAGGAACAACATCGAACGGTTAAAGATCTGTTTGGTTGTATTTTCTTAATTGGTGTGGACGGTTAGGATTGACTCTGGAGGTTATGAGTCGGATCGTGAGGCTTGAATGTTCAATTCTTATTGGTCCAAAATGTTACCACTGTTTATATGCCATTATGGTGCTTTTGCGAAGTTAAAACCATGATTGAGTAGGATTTGTTATTTCCTTAAAATGTCCTTTACTTAGCAATAAATTACAATAGACTGAATAACATTAAAGTGATTGGATTGTTGTACTCTGAGAGTACCTTATCATTTCTTCTCTAACCACTTATCTT